AAAAAAGGTACTCTGACCTTGGTACGGGGCAGGGTGTGCAGCAGGGAGAAAATACCAACCACTATAAGAACCATAGTTAGCTCACACAAAAAATCTTTTAGTGAACAAGGACAAAAATTTGCAATGCTTACTTTGGAAAGTTTTTCCTTCCAGAACACATTTCTTCTTAGAGTAAAACAAGACTACATATTCACAATATTGTATATCTGTTTCAACTTTATAACCAAAACACTCCTTTAGCTAAACAGACAAAACATAATGGAGAGACATTTTGGAGCTGCTCTGTAGTAAGTGATAACAAGACACCACAACAGTGTCTAACTTATAGCAGTAAACACCTCCGAACATAAGTGAGGATCCTAAATCCTAACTGCCAACTTCAACTCTCAATGCAACTTTATCAAGTGAACACTACTAACAATATTACTCAGCCAACTTAGCTAATGCTTTCAACTTTGTTAGTGTCAAAGTATGTTAACCTCCCCAGTGACCACCCGAGGAAACTATGAGGATTAGGATCCAAAGTCTCGCTTTAGACCATTTTTCAAGCACCCATGGCCTACTTTGGCCTTTGAGAGTGGTAGTATCTGAACTTTGAGTTGTGTGTTAGTACAGCAATGTAATTGAAACCTCCAAATGTAAACCTCTTATAAAAAGAGTCCAATGTTTTAAATTTCAGTTTTAGACATTTTTTGAACAGATGGCCTACTTTGGCCTGTGAAACTGACAGTCTTTCAATGCTGCAGTGGAAATGAAGGCCTGTAAATTAAAACTCCAAACAAAAAGATCCAGAGTCTAAAATAAGCAACCTTTACACACCGTTTGTGGACACATGGTCTATTTTGGCCCATGAAAAGTTCTCTCTCTAAATGTGGACAGGCTTTTTTGAAAATACTGCAGTGAAAAAGAAGTCAAACAAGTGCATCTTTTAAAAGTATCAAAACTTGAGCTCTCAGCAAGTCAGTGTAAGTAGGCTGTGCCTACTCCGAGCTGTGCAGGAAGGTACTCAGTCTGTGAATTCTTGGGGACATCTTTTTCCCATCAAGTGCCATCAGGACTTTCTGCACAAACTCAAAAGTGAATTGAGCTTTTTTTGGATATTTGAGGTTGAGCACATATACCAGCCCGAAGAACATGGCAAAAGCTGTTGCAACCGAGGGCAACTCATTTAGGACTGCTGTTCCTTCAATGACGATCTTCAGATCTTTGGGTTGATGGAAAGGATCCTCTTTCTCAACGATGAAGATTGCCATGGCTGTCTGTTCCAATTCTTCAGCCTCACTTTCCTGCATAGCCATCAAAAAAATAATACTTTAAGACAACTAGAAGAATGCCCAATAGACTGCAACACTCCAAATGCTAACAGCCCCAACAATGGAATGGTTATAGCAAAAATGAATCTGAAACGTAATGTCAGCATATCTGAAAACAAATCTTGTACTGCTGAATCACATCAACTGCATGTGTAAGTGTCTTATCACTATGTGTTGCACAGAACTGATTGGGGAAAAATCTGCTTCATTCCTCCTTAAAACTGGTTTTTAATTTGCTTTATTTAAAATATTTTGTTAGATCAAAAATCTGAAGCAATGTCTGATTTTTATTAATTATGGAATAAATGATGGATTCTAACTACTTTTGTCAGTGTCAAGTTATTTCAGAGAGAATTTGGGGTTCTTCTGTTTTCATGAAAGGGTGCATATACACTGCTACAATGTGGCCATATGCATCCCAGACCACCTCCAAATGTAGTCCAACTTATCTCATCTTACTGCATCCTCAATGTGACATGTATTCACACCTGCACTTTAAACTGTCTCCCTTTGAGAGATTCAACCAAATGCAGGTTAATGCTAGGTATAAACAGGGCCTGTGTGAGCAAGTGACAGAGATGTCCTTACCTGGAATTCTTTGATAAGATGGTCAACAGGTTCACCAAGGTAAATCATCACCAATTTGAGGATGCATTCTCTTCTGATGTTGATGTCCACTGTCTGAGAAATAACAGATGGTATTAATTAATAATACAGCCACTCAAAAAAGGACTATTTTGACATACATGTATACCCCATTGATTCACAACTCATTCATAGATACCTCATCTAAAACCTGCAAGGTCCTGGTGGCCTTTTCTTTCACAAGTCCACCCTTGCTCCTGATGACCTTCAGTAGCTTTGGGGAGTACTTGTCCAACTGCGCCAAGAACTTTGTCTCTAAAGGAATGGTTGTAATCCGCATGAACTCCGCATTGATCTGGAAAACACATAGCAGAGCATACAGAAACAAGTTTTAGAATTCGGAATTACTGACCTATCTTCCCCGAAGACTCAGATTTCATCAAACTGCTCCAAGAGCAGCTTTCATTTATAGTAGGAAATCAATATGGCAGATGCCACCCAAGATTTTCAGAAAATTCTGGAAATAATTGTTGTGACATTAATAATTAATTGTTAACATACAGAGGTTTAATGCAGTCCGTTAAATGGTTAAACTATTAGGCTATTCTTCAAAAAAATTCTCTTAAGCATAAAAATTGTTAAGTACTAAGTAAGAAAGATAGCTCTATTGCACCTCAGAGAAAGACAATTTATTTCTTAAATACAAGTCCTGAGACTACACCAAGTATCAGTATCACCTAGTGTCTGAGTGACTAATGTAACTGAGGTGCCTTGCATCTGAAAACATACCTCTTCCATCTGAAAAAGTGCAGGCCATCTTTCCAGGATGTCTTCAATGTTCGGCTTCTTGTGTACTATTTCTTGTCTCCGGTAATCAAATGTCTTTGCCATCTTTTCTTTTATGGTTTGTCGGTTGTTTCTTTTCTGTAATTCTGCCAAAAGAGAAATCCTCTCTTGTTCCAGGCTTTCAGGAGTCTCACCACTTGGTAAGGGTGGGAAATGGTTAACCTCAGCCCGTCTAGGTCTCTTTAAATTCTTTGCTGGGTAGGCCTCCTCTTGAGACTTGGATTTCAAAGAATTCACAGTGAGTTCGGAAGCTGTGCCATGTGCCTTAAGCAGACTACGGTAGTTGGCCATTTTTATCTTGATTCTTTGTTTCCATCCATAGCTTTCATTGAAAGACCCTGGTTCTCTCAGGCAGGGGTGCGTCTTTGTCAGTGCCACAGCAACCTCGCTGAAGTCGGCATCTGTAGGGTATGCTTTGTATATGTAAATTGTTTCAGCCAGTTTCTCCAGTATGTCAGAAAGCATTCTTGAGCTGACTGTCAGTCAAGATTGGCTTTTCGTGTACTCTGCATTTCCCTGTTCTAGTTGAGATTCTGTGTCAAAGGAAAAAGTTGGGATTGGGAATGATTTTGGCCACTGCTGTGTTCTTAAAGAGTCTGAAGAAGAGCTGCTAAGCAGTATAGTGTCATCTGTATTTGAAGAGCAAAAAGAGTCATCACTGTCCAGACCAACTTGAGAAATGTTACTCGCTGGGGAATGAACTGGATACAAGATAGTTGTGGAATTGTGGTCTAATTGGATAACTTTGACAACTGTAAGATCCTTAATGACAGTTGTAGACGTCAGATTCACAAACATGTTCCCAAAATCGGTGTCCTTGTACTGTAGCCTTATGTATCCCCCTAATCCACATGCATTCTTGACTTCCTCAAAGAGCTCGTCCACAGAGTTGGGAATCCCATTGCGTAGCTCCATTCTCACACTGTTGCCTTCATCCAAGATGACCAGCAGTCGAACAGGTACTGTATCTGCCATTGTGCCCTGAAAGAGAATGAGACAGAGAAACAAGAGTATTTAGCTTTTAAATGTCTAAGAGCTTGCTTTGGCAGTCTGTATACTACTACTAAATCCATTTCACTTTGAGAGGGGGCAAGATTGAATGAGGGAAATAAAGAATGAGAAGACATGAAAAAGGTAACTAAAGAAAGATAACTAGAGGGAATGAGAGACTGAAAGAGGAAATGAAGGAAAGAAGAGGAAAGGAGCGAAAGATTGAAAGAGAGGATGAGAAAAGAACATAGAAGAATGAGAGATATGGAAAGATGAAACACAAGAAGTGGAAATGGAATGAGAGACAGAAAGAGGGAGGAGGAGGAAAGGAGGTTAAGGTGAGTGAGAGGACAGGACAATATTTGTTTAGGTAATGCTGATCATACTGGATAGCAAGGTAACAGTATTGGGATTAATTCAACTACCACTCATTACAGAGAAACAGACTCAATAGTTTTTTTTGCAGTCATTAAAAAAAAATCCTATCAAAAAGAATGTTCAGATATACAACATGATGAAAGTAAAGTCCCAATTTCTGCATACTTTCTGGATCTGAGAAAGAATTGTTCATGTTTCCAAACATTTGGGCCTAGAAATAACATCCAAGACTTCTTTAAATTCTCATGTTCCACTGTGAGGGTGTTATGTGCAAAAATGAATCTCATTAACTTACTTCTGACCTTAAATATGTATGTATCTTTTGAGAGTAATCAGCCGCACTCCCCCAACTGCATAGTCCACCAGTGGGTATGGATCTGTCAGTTCATTTGGGTCAAGGAGTTCTTGCTCCTTTGTAGGGCACGATTCCAGTTGATATGCTCTGTAATGTTCCCTGTACCATGCACTCAGCTTTCTGACAATATAAAATAGCTTATCCTTGACAACAAGCATCTGGAGTATTTCAGTAAATTCAGGCAGTCCTGCCAGTGAGCCATGTGTAAGGATCATTCCATTCCTGAAGTTAAGGCCATTGTAAGTTGCATTTTTAGTCAAGCACACATTATCCAAGTCTGGAAGCCTCTTCTTAATGGCAAATACAATGTCCTCTTTCAAAACATCAATGGGAAGAGTTGAAACATTTGCTACTTCCAGAGGACATTTCGGCCAACTGCACATGTAAAGCTGATGTGCCATGAGAAACTGGTGTCTTTCTGCCAAGGACAGTAGCACATTTTTAAAGCAGGTTGTATGCCGCACAACTCTTTTACAGAAGCTGTGCTTCGCTTCAAAGCGCATGGTCCATAGCGCAACTAATGGTCCAAACTCGCAGATTAACTGCGGGTAATGCTCCAAGAAATGGTGCTTAGGCCGAAAGTTTGACTCTGGGAACACCTCTGTAAATTTAACTCTGTGCTCAGAGATCTTAAAGTTCAAATATCCAATTGATTCCTGTGTTTGCACTGGAGAAACAACAAGATCCACAATGTCTTTCAAGTCACCAAGGAGTTGCCAAGCTGCTTCATCAGTGGGTACTTTCTGTCCAAGAAAGAGAGGAAAAAATCTTAAAAAACTCCAATTTTCATGTGCATTTCCACCGATTGTTTTCCTGGTTGCATAGGTCAGCGGAACAGGGTGGGGGCGATTTCCTTTATCAGTCCATTTAAAGGGGAAATCATCTAATGCCTTGTTCAAAGTGTCCAAAGTAAAATATTTTTTGGAGATGAATACAGTCAGACACAGAGCTATTTCAACAGGAACTATTCCCTCAAATAAATCATGGACAATGTCTGGAGGAAAACCACTGGTAACATTGAAATGAGTAAGTCTTTCTGACAATACACAGTTACTTTTTACACCATAACAGTTGCCCATACAATTTTCTTCAAGAGTTTTAAGATGACTTGCATGGGTCTCCTCAGTTCTCAAAGAGAAACCTCCAGCTTCCTTGGCCTGAAACTCCAATCTATCTGCAATGCAAAATCTACACACATATCGGCCTGAAAAATTCTCTATAAATCCAGCAATACTGTGTGCTCCTAGGTTATCGACAACAACACACTGTACTGTGCCCTTCAAAGTTTTCCCCAACTTATCTATAAAAATACCCTGTTGTTCTAAAATTACAAGATCTGTAATCAAAGGCTCTAACACTTTGTCATAACCATAAACTTTCACATCACTGCTTTTGATCAATGCAGCCAAATGTATAGAGGACAACGAGGAGTGACAACCAGGTGGCAGATTGCCTAAAGTCCAATACAGTGCACAGATTTTATGTTTTTTTCTTGAGGTTCCAAGGGGATTGCATATTTCAAAATCATCAACATATAAAATCACAGATATTGCACAGTCTTTTGAAATAATAGTATTTCTTTTAAAGCTAAGGCTATCCCAAAAAGATCTGTACACCGGTTTATCACTCTCCGCTGGTTGATGTTTTTCTTTTATATTTATAGCCTTTTTTAGTATAGTTTCACAATTAATAAGTTGCTGCAAGGATTTTAGTAAAGGCACATACTGAAAAGATTTTCTCTTCTTTTGGTCTAACACATATTCTACAGGTTGGACAACATTGAAGTGTTTTCTATAGTAAGTCTTTCTTTTCCACGCAGAAGACAGTAGACCATGGTTTCCTATTGCAGCTTGAATGGGATTATTGCAGCTTGAATGGGATTGGTGGTGCAAAGTAAAGTAGCTAACTCTTTCACAAATGATTCATCCACTTGGCAATTATGATCTTGCAAGAAGTTGCTTAAAGTCTGTTGGGTGATTGGCACAGAGACGGTACCAATTAAATAATGTAGCTCTTCAAGCAGTTCATTCACAGCTACACTTGGCACCAGAAAAGCGTTTTCTAATTTAAGTAACACTGAGGCTACTTTTAGTTCAATAACTTTTGTCAAATCTGTTGACACTTTAACAGGAATTTGTTCAGAAGTTAAATCATCATCCGACTGCTCAGTAGTACCTCTTTCAAATGATTCTACAACAGTAGGACTGTCAACAGGTCCATCAACAATTCCAGGTTTTAAATCATTAACTGTGTAGGGGGTATGTTTTCTCCATTTGTGAGTATTAAAAGCTCCATAATTATTTGTTTTGAATGAACAACCAGCAAATATGCAACTGACAGATTCGTGGTTTTTTAAATGTTTCCCAGTGTGCTGAAAATAGCCCTTCTCAGTTGAAAGTAGACTGTCACATATGTGGTATCTGAATGGTGAAAAGTTCTCTCTCCGTGAGGCTTGAGCAGGGTGTGATTTGCTTAGGTGGCTCAGTAGAGCATTCCAGGTCTTGCATGTGCAAGGGCAATTTTCATAAGTACAGGGGTAGGCATGACCCCGCCCATAATGCAGATGATCAAGTCTATAGTGTTTGAGAAGCAGAGATCGTCTTGAGTACGTTTTGTCACATTCCTTACATTTCCACATGCATGGATAACTGAGGAAACATGAGACAAAAGAAATACAAAATATAAGTTCAGTTCGCCAAGAAGACCAAATTTCACATTTATTTACTGAGTAGACTTGATAAGACGATTGAGCTCAACTTGCTGGCATTGATTAGATTTGACATTTCTCCTCAACCCAATTAGGAGGGTAACCTAATTACCACAAATGGCCACATGATATTGTACACACAACTTACCACAAGCAATGATGTGTGACTGGAACTTCTAAACAGGTTGCACGGTGGGAATGCAATGGATTGGCAGCTGCTTCCCTGTAGTTAAATGAGAAGCATTTAGTTTTAAAGTAGTTAATTATTTATTTCAAAGATCACAAATACCCTTGTAATATTAACAGAACTTACTACAATGTGTAGCTTTAGGAGGAGTCCT